TCTTGCCTAAATGTAGAACCTTGCTTTTTTCACCATTGAATTTCATTTTGTTAGTTAGTGCCCAGTGTTCAAGTCTGTCCAGATCCTTCTGTATCTGAAGCCTGTCTTCTGGAGTGTTGGCTATTCCTGCCAGCTTGGTGTCATCTGCAAATTTGATGAGTTCCCCATCTATCCCTTCATCCAAATCGTTGATGAAGATGTTGAAGAGTACTGGGCCCAGAACAGAGCCCTGGGGCACCCCACTACACACTTCCCTCCATATAGATGCAGTTCCATTGAGGACCACTCGCTGAGTACGGCCGGTCAGCCAGCTACGGATCCATCTGGTGGTGGTTCTGTCTACCCCACATTTTTCTATCTTGTCAAGTAGTAGGTTGTGATCTACTTTATCAAATGCCTTACTGAAGTCCAAGTAAATTATGTCCACAGCATTCCTCTGATCCACTAATTTTGTCACTTGGTCAAAGAATGCAATAAGATTTGTCTGGCATGATCTATTTTTGACAAACCCATGTTGGCTTTTAGTAATGACTTTGTTTGCCTCTAGGTGTTCATTGATTCGTTGTTTGATTATCTTTTCCAGGATCTTCCCAGGTATTGAGGTCAGGCTGATAGGTCTGTAATTTCCTGGATCCATTTTTTTTCCTTTTTTGAGGATGGGAACTACATCAGCTCTTTTCCAGTCCTCTGGTAGTTCCCCTGTGTTCCAGGATCTTTGAAAAATATAGTTCAGTGGCTCCGATATCACATCTGCCAGTTCCTTGAGAACTCTGGGGTGTAATCCATCTGGTCCTGGCGATTTGAACTCATCTAGGCTGGACAGGTGCTCACTAACCATTTTCTTGCCTATCTTAACTTGTGTTTCTGTTTTGTTTTTTATGGCACTATTTTTGATAGGTTGGTCTGTTTTTTCCCTTTGTGTAAAGACAGATGCAAAAAATGAGTTAAATAGTTCTGCTTTCTCCCTGTTGCTTGTCACCTTCTTGCCACTTCCACCCACTAATGGACCAATCTTTCCTTCACTTTTTTCTTGTTTTTTACATGTTGAAAGAAGCTTTTTTTGTTATTTTTGACTTTGGTCGCAAGCCTTAGTTCATTTTGAGCCTTGGCTTTCTTCACTTCATCTTTGCAGGCTCGGGCTATTTGCTGATATTCTGACTTAGTTATGTTCCCCCTCTTTCCACTTTCTGTACTTGTCCTTTTTATCTTTCAATTTGTCAGAGAGTTCTTTATGCAGCCATGCTGGTTTCTTTTGAGAGCTGTTATTTTTCCTCTTTGTTGGTATTGTGCTAGACTGTGCTTTTATTATCTCATTTTTCAAAATTTCCCAAGCTTCTTGAGTTTTACCATAAAACACAGGCTCTGTTTGCAATGTAAAGAAAAACAGTCCTGTGAAATAATTTGTATCATCAGTTCGTCTGAAGACAGAGATTAAAATTCAGTTCCAAATGTATAACTTCAGATGTAATTCTCGCTTGATTATTATGAGCAAGCAGCTTTATGAAAATCATAGGTTCCGCAAAAGTATTTAGAAAAACCAGAAGTATCCGAAGTTGACATTACCGGTTTACCAGGTAAACCAAAACTTTTTAAGCCAAAAAATAACACAGCTGTATTATGGCTTCCAACTAGCATGTGCATATAGAATAGGGGTCTTCAAACTTGGCCCTTTTATGACTTGTGGACTTCAACTCCCAGAATTCCAGAGCCAGGCACACTGGCTGAAGAATTCTGGAGTTGAAGTCCATAAGTCATAAAAGGGCCAAGTTTGAAGACCCCTGCTAGAAGCCATTAGAAGCCATTAGAAGCCATTCAATCAAATTTCTTAACGGACATATTTCAGGTGCTACAATGGATTTCTAGTACACTTCTTTAGGGAAAGACTGGATTGGCATTAATAAAACTTGAGTGCAGATAGCACTTGCACATGCTAGCTATGGCTTAAATTAATTTTCAAATCAAGTAGTTTGACCCTACGAGTTAAATTTCAATCTTCTTGGTGGAAATCACTTTGTTCCCCCTTAAAGTACTGGAAATTCTTTCCTAATACACTGATCTCTTTGGGCTTTGAACTAACTATATCATTCTTTAAGCAATAATCCAGAGATGCTGATCTGCAAAATTGCAGCCAAGCTCCATCTTACTTCATCCCAGTGACACACTTGCTTCTATCCATTATTTGTTTAGGATTGCATCTCAAAATATCAGAATTGCATTTACATTGCCCTTTTATTCTGCTTTTCAGGAGAGCAGATTTTACAATGCTCCTAAAGAGCATCATCTCCGCCCATGTGGTGAGAGGAAGAATAAGACCATCCATTATGTCTTACTACACTGCCTCTTATAGGGAGACAGTTGAGCTACGTGTATTTCCACATTTATAACACAATACCTAGGCAGGGCCAAGGAGGACTCTTCAACCTTCTATGGGGTGATCAGGAGACAGAGATGTCAGGTAGCAGAACCAAATGTAACACATGGCTGTGATGGAAAGCAGAGGATTGCTTCAGGTGGTCTATCACTTTAGGCACATTATGCATTATTTTTTTGCTGTGTCTACTTGTAATAAGCTAAATATGTTTTCTGGATCATTGTGGTGTAAACCAAGTTACTTCAAACTACACTTCTATTTCCTGAAGCAAAACTAAAATAAAAAGCAATTCATTATAAAAAAAAATGCAGCTGAATGGAAGAACAAGTAAGAACTTATGCTAAAATCCCAAAATCTTCTTAAATCTATTTTCATCATCCTCTATAGTAGAACAGTGTACAGTCAATTTGTAGTATCTAAAATTTCAGGTCAGAAGAAGGTCCATTAATGTGTTCTTTTTTCTGTTGCAAAAAGGACTCCAAATTAAATTCCCGCCAAGATATAACAAATGCCCTGTGATTAAAAGAAACAGCACAGAGCTTGTAAATTACAGATACAGTAATCTGAAACATCATAGTAAACCATGGCTTAATCATAATCTGTTGAATAAATCACAATTGGCTCCAATTGCATTATCTGACAACTACCCATTATGGCTTAGCATATGAGCAAAGTCCGTCATATAATTTAAGTCATCTTTCATAGACTCAGTGAAATTCACAAACTTGGTTTTCATTTTAAAAATTAACTTGATTATATGGCCATTCCAAAAACTTCTACTTCCTCTAGTCAATCAGCAACCGGACATTTTAAAACATTTTTAAAAATTAAACATTTAAAGTAATCATAAGGATTTTCCCCAACCCACTTCATTATTTTTTGTCCTCTTGACATTTCTCCCATTTCTTCTTGACCATTAAGGAATGATTTGGTTCAGCAAATAACCAGCCTAGGAGGACATGCCCCCATCTTACCTCCTTAATCTGTTTGGGATCAAAGCCGTCCTTTGTCACCCCTGAGATTCAAATGGCATAAAGAAGACATTATGGCTATGGCTTCTCTTTTCTCAGCCCATGTATGAGTTCAGCAACTGAATCAGATAGAAAAAAAAGCTACATTTTCCATGCTCTTAGGAATTCCTCCCCCCCCCCAAGATATACAGTAGAGCTCTGTGTGCTGGATTCAGAAATCATTATTCAGTCCAGCTCTAAAGAAATATTGAGCTGCTGTTACAAACATTTTGCCACGAAGACTAAAGACCTGGAGGATTTTAGACAGCTTGTTGGAAATTGTAGCCAAGTGCCTGACCTCAGTTCTGGAACCAGTTAAGTGCACAGAAGCTCTTCTATGGGCTCCTCTGAACTCAGATGGGGAAATGAAACCTAGCTACAAAATCCAACTGAACACTTTGGGGGATTCAGAATAAACCTGCATAGGGTTGGGCTGCAGAGTTTGCAAGAGTTTTCCTGTTAACATTAAAAGAGAGATTCTCAGCAACTGGGAGGCTGTCCCTTAGCAGATCAAGATTGATAGAAATAAACATCTGACAGCTTCCCTTGAACTGAGATCAATTCAAACCCTTGAACTGAGATCAATTCAGGTAATTGCAGGTCGCTGCTATGAAATACCACCATTTATGGACAAACATACACACATACCTTCAGAAGTTTTGCAAAAAGGGCATCTTACAATCATGCAAGCATTAGAAAAATAAAATACCAAGTGGTTATACCAGCCTTCTTCAACAAAACCAACTGACTTCATCATTTCTCAAATTATGTTTCCCAGCTATGAGTTTGGGTCTCTCAAATGAATCCCATGGTGACTACATGGTTGCCTATGTGGTTTTCCTGGCAACATTTTTTCAGAAGTGATTCTGCTAGTAGCTTCTTCCTAGCACTTAGAGAGAATGACTGGCCCAAGTGACCTAGCTGGTTTTATTGCTTCAGAGATGAAAATAATTCATTCTCACAGCTCCTAGTCCAGGGCCTTTAACTATTACACCAAACTCTCTTCTCAAATATGCCAGAGGCTAAACAGGTAATTCCCTGCCTTAGCCTCCAAATGAGACTGCATGAATGTAGTTTACATAAACAATTATGCAGCCTCAGAAGTTAGATGCTCAGCATTCCTGGGTAACAAGCAGGTATGAAGCCTATTCAGGATGCTCTGAATATTCCTTTCCAAGGTATTAAAGACACTGATTTGTTAATGGATCAAAGGGAAAAGATAGGAAAGATTAGAAAGATATGCAAAACACAAAGATGAGCCGCCTCAAGAAGGTGGCTGATAATTTAGAAAGCTACCCCTGAATCCATTTACGCACCCTAAGGTAGGACAGCACTTCCTTCCTTGCTTTGCAAATATTCCTGCCCTATTGCTTTTAGATGAGAGTTGGCATTATTCCAGATTAATCACACACCAGACAGGATGAGCACGGTTCTGTGCAACTCTTCTACAGATGGCTCAATATTTAAATTCAAAAGAGACGCTGAGAAGGGAAGCAAAGGATAGCGCGGGGATTGGAGAGTTGGGGAAATTGCAAGCAAGCAAGGTGGGGTACCGCTCCCGGACGAAAGAAAGCAAAGGCATCAACAGTGGGGTGGAGGGGACCCGCCCACTTGCTTACCCCGGCCGTAGGCGAAGTGCAAGCGCAGCGCCTTGCCTTGGCGCACCAAGTTGATGTGCAGGTAGGTGAACCACACGGCGAAGGTGAGCAGCACCAGCAGCAGCAGCAACTTGAATTGCTTCCGGATCTTCTTCACCGGGAACCACAGCATCTTCCAGGCAGCATGCCCGGGGGGTCTCTCTGCCCCCGGGGGGTGAGCTGGGGCGCTCGAGCCGTCCTTTCCGCGGGAGGATGAATGGGAGAGGAAGGCAGGGAGAGACTTGCGGGGTCAGCCCCTAACCCGGCCTTCGCGTCGCCCCCTCGCAGCTCATCTTGCCCCGAAGGCAAAGACTACCGCTTTCTCCCCGCCAGCCGCCGGCTTGTGCTCCGTTACCTGCAGCGGCGACGGCAGCAACTTTGGTGTCTCCGGACTGGCGCGTAAACTTCGTTTTGGCGCTGTCCAGCCGAAAGGGCTGCCGAACGGAGGAGGAGGAGGAGGGAGAGGAGGAAACAGAGGAGGGGAACGCTCCCGAGAGCTGCTCCAAGAGGATGCGGGAATGGGTGGGGGCCCTTAATGCTCTCCCCCAAGAAAAGCTCGGCCGCCTCCAGCCAACTCCTGGCGGGAAGGGACAAAGGCATCCAGGCAGCAGGAGACTCCCTCCGACCGCGAGCGATCGAGCAGCGCGGCAGTGTACAGCTCGCTCCCTCGCCGACACCTCCGTTTACCTGAGGCTCTGTGCATGGAAAAGCAGCCCGGAATCCCCGCCCCACAATGAGGGTAATAGAATTCGTCCTCGGCAGGCAATGAATGGAGGGAGAGAAGCTGCCCAGAGTTTCTCCCCCGTCCGGGCTTTGGGCTCTTCTTGAATTATTGTGGTTCCTCGGCCTGCACTTTAGAGGATTTTCGTTGCGGATGCAAAGCCGGAGCTGCTGGGTTGCCTACTCCCGCCTTGCGCGCTCGGCTCGGAGCGATGCCCTGGCAGCAGCATCGCCTTTTCGCCGTCGCTGCTCTGGCTTTGGCTCGAAGAGAGCAGCATCCGCACGCTGTGATGCAACCGAGCCTGAAACGGGGCAGCCAGATGGGCAGCCCTACGAGACCCAATGGCAGCCCCTTTTTTTTCGATCCGCCCAATCCTCTCGCTCAGGAGGCGGGGCAAAGGGGAGTTCGGCTGTGAGCGGCGTTCATCTCCACGCCAACGTGCAAACATCCACCTGGGGAGCAGATTCAGTGCCTGCCTTGGCAAAGGAGGGGAATGATATATTTGGAAGAGGAGGAGGGAGGGGGCTGCCATCATTCTCTGCAAATCTCTCAGGCCTTCGATCTACTTCCTGAAAGCGAAATCTGGCTGCTGTAGCTTCAGGAAAAAAATCTTCCCGTTTTCTATGTTATTGTTCGTTTGAGATGCCACTTACAACCCTACTAGAGCGTCCCCTTCGTGAGGGATGGTATCTTCCCAGCAGATGCAAGCTGGTACTCTGTGAGAAGGCAGCAAGATTTTCCAAGATGGTAAAGGCTGAGGATGCAGGCGGCCTTCTTTGAGATGGCTGCAGGTGAAACTGAGCAGCTGGCTTCCCTTGTGGCAGAATGCCAGAAACGGCGCTTGCTATGATATATCCTAGCAGTAAAGCGTTCTGCTATGGGGCTCAACCGCTGCTTCTCCTGGATATGGCAAGTCAAACTCTCTGAAACCTGAGAAGTTTCAAGTATGCCCATTAGAACGTCAATCAGTGCTAGACCTGCTTCTGAAAATCCTTATGAGTCATCAAGGAAATTGCTTTGCTAGTGCTCTTCAGAAATTAATTTGTGATAGATTTCAGTTAATGTTGGTTGTTGCATGATGTTAAAAAGTGGAATAGGGAAGAGTTGTTCTGAAATGTCTAATTTAGATTTCCCTCCCCATTCTGATTTCATAAATATCAAGTACAGTTGGGGTCAGCTGAAATGGTTGCAGTCAAGGTGTTCTCAAGAGGATCCCAGTAAATATTTTATGGTTTGTCATCTATCCTTAGCATTGCCCTGCCTGTTTTGTAAGCAGTCGTGGCTTTCTCTGATTTGACAATGGAGTTTAGCAAGGAGTAACAAGAAATAAAAGTGCAGGAGGCGTGACTACCTATGTTAGACTGAGAGGATTTCTTCAAACATGTCAGTTACAAAAGAAAGTCAAAAGAAGCATTGGGATTGCTCTTCATTCTAGATGGAGGAATGGCCAACAGAAGCAAAGGAACTCCTATTTCACTCTTGTCTTTTCAGCCAAAAAAATAAAGTAAAATGATTTGAGTATCATAGACTAGGAATGAACACTACAGGTAAGGGAAGAAGTCAGAAATTATGTGGTAAACAGTCTTCTAAATAATTTGAATGCTCATACCGCTATGGCAGGGTAGGCAACCTCGGCTCTTTTATGACTCATGGACTTCAACTCCCAGAATTCCTGAGCCTAGCTGGCTCAGGAATTCTGGGAGTTGAAGTCCATGAGTCATAAAAGAGCCGAGGTTGCCTACCTCTGCCCTATGGCCTGATGAAATGCACAATAGAATATGGAAGGAACAGGTGGAAGAGTCTCATGAGGTCTGTTCATTATCTTTGAGGAGATCTGGAGAACAAGGGAGATATCAGAGCGCCACAGAAGAATAAATTTGGCCCCTTTCTTCTAGAAGGGAAGAAAGAGAATCCCAGTAATTATCTATCAGTGAGCTAACAATACCTGAAAAGATCTTAAATCTTAAAGAGCATACTATTTGTATGGAATTTGAAGACTTGCTATGTGTCATGTAAGACAAATCTCATCTCCTTCTCTGAGAAGGTAACTCCTTATTGGCAGGGGAATATACTGTAGATATAATCTACCTTGATCTCAGCAAAGCTTCTGACAAAGTTCCACACAACGGTCTCATTGATGAACTGTGATAGTGTGGTTTGCATTGGCACTACAATAAGATAGGTCCACATCTGGCTGGCTAACCATGTTCAGAAAAATTAGTGCTAGTTTTACATCAAGATGGACAATAATAACCAGTGGATCCCATTGTATGTTGGGGTCAGAATTCTTCAATATTGTTATCAATGATCTGGATTATAAGATTGAATGACAGATGCTTATCAGATTTGTGATTGACAAGGATATTTGGCTAATACTTAGGAAGATTGGCAAGACTACTGTATAATAAATTTTGAACAAATTGAAAGACTGGGCTGAGACAACAAAATCTCCAGGGAGAAATTTAAGATATTATATTTATGGTGGGAAATATAGAGCACACATACAAGCAAGGAGATTCATGACTTGGAAACAGTACATTAAAGAAGGATTTGGGTGATAAGCTGACCACAAAACAGCAGTTTGAGATAGTTTCTAGGAGGGCTGTTGCAGTCTCTAATAGCATCAGAAGAAATGCTGTACAAAAAAAAATACATAGTCCTTATTCTCTCTTCTGCATTACTGAGATCATATCTGGACTTTTGTGAACAATTCTGGCATCACATTTTGAGAAGGGGATTGACAGTTTAGATCAGGTTCAGAGGAGGTGACAAGCTTAATACAGGGACTTGATAATATTCCCTACAACAGTGGTTCTCAACCTGTGGGTCGGGACCCCATTTGGGGTTGAACGACCATTTCACGGGGGTCGCCAAACAATGCTGTCCGCCATTTTTCCCCCTTTTCCTTAGCTGTGCTACTCCCTTTTATTCTATTGGCTTTTGAAAGCCAATAGAATAGACTCTCTTGAATAGAGTCTAATTCTATTGGCTTTCAAAAGCAATAGGAATTGTCCAAGCTGCCCTGCTGAGTCCGCCAAAAGTCCCATTCTGCAAACAGTGCTGCACCAGTTGAGTAGTCCTCGACTTACGACCGGTTGAGCAGTCCTCGACTTACGACTGGTTGGGGGTCACGGCATTAAAAAGGTTGAGAACCACTGCCCTTCAAGGACAGGCTGAAGGGGCTTAGGATCTTCAACCTGGAAAACATAACACAAGGCGAGTTGTGATATTGGTGTTCAAGTACATTAAAAGGGAAGATGGTCAGGAATTATTTTCCATTGCCATAGAAACAAGGACCAGAAATAATGGGAATAAGTTGCACCTACCTACATTTCATTTAAACATAAGGAACAGTTTGATAGTAAGATCGGAGCATCAGGAAGATAGTCTGCCTATGGAGACTGTGGGTTCTTTAGCCATGGAGTTTTTTTTGAGCTGACCTTTTTGTAAACAAACCTGGTAGACTGGCTGAAGTAATATGGACTGGGGTTGTTGGTTTTAGTGAAAGGTGTTTCCTTGGCAAGAGCCATCACACCTCTCCATGGGTGAGAGCCAGAGAAGGATACTAGTGGGGGAGAAGGTACCTTGTTGATATTGGTGGAAGGAATGGGCACCCCTGGCAGACTGATGAAAAAGGGTTGGATTGAAGTATCTGATGGGAGGTAGATATTGGTTGTGGAAGTTGCTGTAAGGGACAGTTAGAAGCACAAAGTACAGGGGCAAAAATACCCCCAGAAACAAAACAACTCCAAGGAAGATGTTGTTTTTTTTTTGCTTGGATTTAGTGGGACACTCAGACTTAGGGGTAGTACAGTATTTTCTTCCCTAGTCCCCTGAAGCATTCTTCCCTCAGTTTTCTCTGGGCAAAACACTTTTCCACTTAAGGCTGCAATCCTATACATGTCTACTCGACAGTTACCCTATTTAAATCAGTGCAATATATTTACAGCCAAAATCTGGGTGTACAAACTTTCTATCAAATGATTATTGGTTAGTATCATTAGAATGAGAATTTGTTCTTGTTTCAACTGAATACTGTGTAATTTAAATTAATTTAGATAAGCAATGTAGCAGTGGCAAGGACTGCTATAATTCCTAAGTGATCTTGAAATAATATATACATATCATTTTTTGAAATAATATATACATATTATTTGTATGTATGTATAATTTATACATGCATACAGTTTCATTGATTTGGAAAGATGGTAGTGATCTGCCAAATCCTTCCTAATTTAGTGTAAACAAATCTGTAAATTTCCTAGTGAGAAGTAAAGCAACTAATCTCGTTTTGTCTAAAATAAATGTTGTCAGCCAATGATGAAGTTTAGAAAAGAAGCATTACTACATTCATAACCCTGTAATAACCCCAATGCAAAAGTAAAGAAAAAAGCAATTGGCTTAAAGCAAATACTACTATATGCAATTATAAATATAAACATATATAAATGCATAGACATAAGGCTTTTTACATAAACTTCACCATACATTTTTAAATTGGGGAATCCATGAAAAGGTGTATTATTAAATATTATTAAAATTCCCTCAAAACTGTAACTAACACTGTATTCCCATTGTTGCGGCCTCAATAATAGCAAGTTTCTGTTCTCCTCTTTTTCTCTCTGATATTAATATTTTTCTTAAAATTTGTCAAGTACAAGTTAGAAGTGCCAGCCTATAATATCTGTAGGCTACTAATGACAGCCCAAATAACAGCTTCAACAAAGTGAGGTTGACACTAACTCTTAAATTCCTCTCTTTAGTGATATTTTTGTGAAATAGCAGCAGGGTGTGTTTTGATATTTATGGAACCAAGAAATCAGACAATGGCTTAGGAAAAATACCATGCCTTTTTAGTATTAACTGAGTTGAAAGATAATGCTATGGATAAAATGTGCCAATGAAAAGGTTTACTAATTTTTACAGAATATGTGTTAATTTTCCTTTTGCTATCAAAGATTGTGTGTCAGATATTCCAAATCAACCTGGTTTACAGGTTAGAAATATGTTCCCAGAGATCATATCAGGAATTCTATATTAACCTTCCAAGGGAACATGAATATTATTTTCAGAGTTGCCTAAGTAACAGTAAATCTATAATCTCTTTACTTTGAATGCTATTCATTATGTCAGATTTCAGGTGGTATATTCAGTCAGAAGATGTTAAGTTATTTATTAAATGTATATTCTGTTGACTGAGTGACTCAACAGTTAACAGCCAAGTCAGTATTTTAACACAGGTTATTAAACAATTCATTATAATTCAGT